CGTGAGACACCGTCCCAAGTAGGGAAGAGAGCATCAATCAAGCTGTCAATCCACTTGAATCATTCCCCTTTTCTGTCACTCTTCTCCGCACCACATAGAGACACGTTTCACGGAGGGAACTTCTCTACATTAAAATGTTGATTGGGGGGGCACCTGGGTGGCTCAGTGGGTTAAAGCCTCTGCCTTCCGCTCAGGTCATGATCTCAGGGTCCTGGAGTCGAGCCCCGAGTCGGGCTCTCTGCTCAGCGGGGAGCCTGCTTCCCTTCCTCTCTCTCTGCCTGCCTCTCTGCCTACTTGTAATCTCTGTCACATAAATAAATAAAATCTTTTAAAAAAAAATGTTGATTGGGGTTCAAGATACAGACAGATGCCCAAATCAGAAACACACAGCTAGACGGATTTTCACGGTGTGAAAGTGTCCATGCAGTCAGCATTCAGATCAAGAGGCAGAACATTCCTGGGCTCCCAGAGGCATCTGTTACCCTATACCTTTGAGGGTAACTACTCCCAAGATTTCTAATCCCGCAGAGGACTGCTTTTGAGCTAACACAAATGGCCTCATTCATCGTTTACTCTTTTGTAAACTCTTACACTCAACATTGTGGCTTCATTCACAATCTTCATTCGTTCCTTCTCATAGTTGCATAGGATTTATGTATTGAAAACGCAGTGACTGACTAACTTCTTCTGCGGTGAACAGGCTGTTGGGTTCTTTCCGGTTTGGGACTAACTCATTTAATGCCGATGTGAACATTCTTGTGGATGTCTTCTGTGTGTTGGGATTATACCAGGAGCGGAAGTGCTGGGAACTTTTTTGGGTGTTGGTCCTTCACTGGAAACTATGAAAGGAGGCTAGACACTGGAATGAAACCATGGAAGAACCCAGTCCTTGTTTGCAAGGACCTCACCATCCAGTGAAGGACAAAGCTGAGCTGGCACACAGTCTAGGATGTTGGTAGGGGACATGGGCCAGAGCACCTGGGATGGAGGGGGAGACCAGGGAGATGGGAGTCAGGAAGCCTTCCCAAAGGGAATGACACTCAAAGTGACTTCGGAAGCATGAAAAGGTATCAAAGGAGGGACAAAGTGGAGAAGGCAAGAGAAGCACGTGTGGAAAAGCAGAGACAAGTGTGGAAGTAGGTCAAGTCCAGAGATGGTGTGTTGGAGCAATAGAGGAAGGTCAGAAATGTTTGGTGAAGGTCAAGGCCGACTAGACAAGTTGGGGGCACCACGCCAAGGACCTTGCTTTCCATCTATGGAATATATACATTCTCCTGCATGTGATGGGAAGCTGCAGAAGACTCTAGGGATGTGCTGGGGGCAAGATCAGTTCATTCAGGTGGCCGTGTGGAGACAGGACTAGAGAAGGGCCTGGAAGCTGAAAAGGGGAAGGGAGTGTGGTATCTTAGCAGACGGAAGCTAGGTGACTTCTTGAAGGCTGGTTTGGCCACTAGCCAGACCAAGAACCTCGATGGCTTCTCATGGAACATGGAGGTTGTGCACGGGGACGGCTGTGTGTGTGGGTGCCGAGTTTCAATGTGCAGGAACCACACGCAGTAATTCAAACGGAAAGCTTTTGGGGCCAGGAGGCCCCCTGCTGACACCCAGGCTGGTGTAGGCAAGGAGCCCTCTGCTTGAGAGTGGAGAGGCAGAGCATATGTGTGAGGAATCCACGCCAGAAAGCGAGAGCGCTACAGTGTGGGTCCGCGACAGCAGTGCCGACGTCTCCTTGCTCTCCGCCCCCCTCTGCAGACCCAGACGGAATGCGGAGCGGAGACAGACAAGTCCCTATCTCACCCGGCTTCCTGACAGACTCAGGAGAGGAGTCTAGAAAAGTCTCCTAGCTCCTCTGATTGAAATCATAAATTCAGTAGTTATTTTTTATGCAAACTTAGCTAATACGGTGGCCTGGATGGAGCCCAGAAACTCGGTGTTGGGACTCTGAATGGGTACTTGACATGGCATGAGAGATGTATAGAATGAAACATAATGGGAAAATCCTGATTATTAAATTTCCTCCTAGTATAAAATTGATACTATACTAAGAAATAGGAAAAATTCATAAAAGCAGAAAACATTTGCCCCATATTCCACTGACCAAAGAGAAGCACTGTTGATTTTTATTCCTTCCTCCTCCCTTCCTTCCTTCTTTGCTTTCATGCACACATTTCTATAGACTTGTAATCAGAAGGTACCCTTCATTTTTGCCATCAATGTCATTATCTCCAATTGCTTAAAAATTTGATGACCACAATTTGCCCTTTATTAAAAAAATAAAATTTAATTGCAAAACCTACAGAAAATACCCTGTAAAAAAGAAAAAAACATCCCCAAGTTCCCACCACCCATTCTTAATTCTTGGTCTCTGTCTTGGCATTGTGCTCTTATCTATAATTTAAATTTAGTAAAATTATTGCTTTATATTACCTTCAATTTTGCAACTTTTAAATTCTTACCTATGTATTATGAATATCTTTCCTAACTGAATTCCACTGAATAGCACCAGATTTTATTGGAATGACTCCTAAGTTGTTTCCAAATTTTTTAAAAATATAAACAGTGCTGCACTTGTGCAATTTTTAAGAATATACACATTTTTGCATGGAATTGATGAGCCAAAAAAAAATCTAACTTTTTAAGACTTTGGCTACGTATTACCAAATACCTATCTAGGAAGTAAGTGAGCAAAGCAGTGCTCATTTGCCCGTAACTTCACCAATATTAGGCACTGTCATCTTAAAAAAATTTTTTCTTTATTGCTACTGAAGTTAAATATTTATGTATTTGTGGTACTTTTTTTTCCTTTCGTAAACTATCCATTCAAAACATCATTTTTCTACTGGCAGAGTTCTGTCATGTGGGTATGCTATTATTTATGGAAGCATTCTCTATCAAAAAGGGAAAAGCCCAGTATAAGGAGTCCAAGCCAAAGAGCAGACAGATTACTTCATGGGTGTACAACAATGCGGCAAAACCTCACCGCCCTCCATCCCTTCTGGAGACTTCCACGTTTTCTGTGTTGGGCTACTTAGAAAATATTCCAATGATCCTAAGTATTACTTTAATGTAGAAATTAGCCTTTATTATAGCAGTTAGGTAAACAACCAGCAGTCTGAGAACAGATGTCCATAAAGGCAAAGTAGACTGAATTTCTGCTGTTAGTGTGTTAAGGTGTCTTGTATTTAATACGAAATACAAAGTAAGCTAGGAATCCTGTCTTGCCACATGCTCTCAAATGCGGGCTATTTATCCTTTCAAACATGCACACAGGATTCTGGAGGTCTGAGGCTGAATGCCGTGTCCTCTGATGCGCAGACCTACATATACTAGAGGAAACAGAAGTAGGAACGTTGAGGAATCGTGAGGTCAGAGATGCTTGTGTTAACTCCTTTGCCTTGTTCTTTGGGGATCATCTTCTGGCACCATTTAGCATGAAACTCCAAGAGATTGGGGGGAAAATATTTTAGAAATTATCCTTGGTTTTAGATCAAATGTCTCCATGGTTTTTAGGGGTGGGGGAAAATTTCACTAACACACACCTGAGATCAGTGTGGTGAAAATGTGAATGTATATATATGCGTGTAGGTATTTGGTGCTCAGGAATAAGAGGGTTTTAAACCTACTTGATCATTCTAGAAACCTTGGTGTTTTGTTTGTTTTAACACATACTCACTCTTGACTCTTGAAAGCATCTGCGTAAAACCAAAAGACTGTATTTTCATGTACTTCTCAGGGGATTCTGATGCTCAGATTAGTTTTCTAGTCTCCATTTTGCTGATGTGTCCCCTATTCTAATGATTATTCTGTTCTGTGTTATCTGTTGTCTCTACTGGCTCTTCAGTTACTGTTTGCTTCAGTGTTCTGCTTTTCCTATGAGGAATCTACCAGATTACGTGCCAGATTCAGTGGGCTGCTTCCGTGTGAAGTCTCAGGATTTTTCTCTTCTGGACAATTCATAGCTGTTTCACGGAAAGCATTGCCCTGTTTGCACTTTGTTTCTGAAATCTCATTACAGCTAAATTCAAACTTCTACTTTAATCCTTTATATCTCTAAACCGGTCATTTTGATTTCATAGTTGTCTATCTCCCTCTGCCACACTCTGGGTAATTTCCTCAGATGTATCTTCCATATCATCACTTTTCTCTTTAACTGTGCCTATCTACCCTCAAAGCTGGTCATTGCTGAATGTTATTCACAGTGTTTCATTTTGAATTGTTCTACTGGATTGCCGTAACTGCCAATTCTTTTCCTTTTTTTTTTTTTTTTTTCAGGAGGGCTTTTTATTTCTCCCTTTATCTCCTTCATGATTGTAAATGTACTTAAATTTATAGTTAGCTTTAGACTGTTAGATTATCTCAGATTCTTGTGGTGCTGTTCTTCCCACATGTATCTGTCGATTCTCCCATTTTGTGGACCACTCCCTTGATTTGGACTTTGTGAGCATTTTTTCAGTTAGGATATAGCCTCCCTGTGGAATGCTGGGGTACTTTAAGAAGTGGCAGTAATCCTTCAGAGAAGTCTTACATTTGATTCTTTGGTGACGTCTAGGAGTTTCACTGGTGAGAAATATTTATGGTCTCTATATTAATATCTTCATTTGGGGTGCCTCTGCTTGAGGAGGGTCTAAAATTTGCATGCTACACCTACGCATAGAAGAGATTTTTTAAATTGCCATTTATTGTGGGAAATTTTCCCCACCCAGATATCTGATCAGTGAGAAATTTGCCAGTAGCTTTAGTAAGTGAGCAATACTTTCCTGTCCCTTAACGGAGTGGGGGCAGGTCTTCCTTGGTTGTAGCTCTATGTGTCAATTTCAGTTTCAACTCTTTACTTTCCTTACGCCCAAGGGCCATGTGTAAAAAACCCCAGCCCATAGCTGTTAGGTTCTGTGGTCATGTCTTACAGCCTCTGTTCTGGCCTCAACCTCTGTACTTACCACATCGGTTATGAGGTTCTTCTTTGTTTTTAGCACATAAGAGATCTGTGTCTCCATTTCTTGGTCTCTCTCTCCCTCACTTTATTCCCTGCCAATATGTAAAACAGTTTCATTAGATTTCACCCAGCATGCTCCTGTGTCTGTAGCACACAGAAGTTAGGAAAGCAGTATTTAGTACATGGAATTGGAAAGCATTTGGTTTGGAGACCACCAACGAGTGCAGTAGAGGATATAGGACTTGGAAACAGGAACCAGAGTTGGAACTATGGCTACAACCCTTTCTGAGTAAGTTGGGCTGAGTCATTTAAATCCTTTCTAAGCTTTAGTAGGAAAATAGGGATAACACTACTGGTGATCTTCCTTCGATGGTCTTCCTTTATGCTCTAAATTCCCTCGTGTTTAAATGGTTGCCATTTCCTCCATCCTCCATTCCTACAAAAGCTGGGGAAGACTGCAAGTTTCTCATTCAATGTTTTCCTTTAAAAACAGCTAATGGATAGTGGTTGACTGAATGATCTTACTACTTTTCCTTTCACCAATGAATTCCCACATACCAATGGACTGAGAAAAACTCTGGTTAAAAAAAGGAACCCAAACTGGAAAGAAATGATGAATTCCATTTCCTAAGAAGTTTGCAAGGGGGTCAGAGAGGGGTGGACTTTGCTCCCCCTTCTCACCACACTCTCTCTCCCTGGAGTGCAAGTGAGTGAAACCGTATATTGGTTTAGAGGTTCTGCTTGAGTAAAGGTTTAAGAGCCAATAAATCCGTCAGAGTAGATCTCAGGCTGAGCCAAGGTGAATAGCCTCACAGTAATTTTTCCAGAGCCTCAAGGTACCAGGCAGCAGAAGCAGAGAGGTCACCGATGGCAACTCACCCCCCTGCCAAGGAGCAGAGACATCAGCCCACGGGAATAGGAGAAGCTTTTCCCAGAGAGTTGTGTTTACTGCGTGGTAAAATCCCTTGTCAAACAGCAGAGCACTCAGATTTAAAAAGCAATTAGAGAAAAAAACAGAGGCACATAAAACTCACATGTCCTCTCCGTGACTCTGGGGGTCTGCAGACCCCAGGTGATCATTGCTCTTCAGCATGGAAGGCAGCCTGATGGTTATTGCCTGAGACATTCAGTATACACATCCTTTGTTTCCGCTTTCCACTTACAGAAATGTAAGCTGTAGACAAACACGAGAGCACTAGGTTGTCCAGGGTGGCCCAAGTTTCCTATGTTTTGTACTTCATTTTGAACACTGAAAAATTTAAGAGATTGTAAAAATCTTAGCAGGATACATTATACAATGGAATGTACCATAGGTACTCCATATACTTGTTTGGAAAGGTGCCTCGGAGTATGAACTTGGAAGCCAGGCTGTGTGAGCACCCATGACTGTGTGTAGCTGTGTGACCCTGAGCAAACAGCTTCTCGTCCCTGTGACTCAGTTTGCTCATACATACAACCAGGGTCACAGGAATCCCTGAGCCATAGGGTTGTTGAGAGCGTCCAATGGAGTTCATCTGTAAAGAGCTTGTAACAATGGCGGACTCATTGTCAAGTTCTGAGCTATTATTAGGTTAAGTATAACTGTTTGGGTCTGGGCATTATACTTGGGTTTGAGGTGAGAGCAAACTTTCAGTTTTCATTTTCTACCACTTGGACTGGTTACTGTGTATACAACACTTGCATTAAGAAAAAGCATTATTCAAAAGTGCACAGGATAGGAAGACAATTGTTCTGAAAGTCTGGCTTCTAATGGGGACTTGAAACAATCATGCTTACTGAGGGCCATATACTGAAAGCATTAGGAACTGATTCCTGCGAGCAGTCCCTTACATTTAATCCCCCACACCTGTAGTACATCTTATCCTCAGCAAAATATTTTTATATTCATGAGTTCACTTAATCCAACTAACTGGATTATTTATGAATTCACTTAATCCCTGGGAAGTGAATGTTCCTATGTATTATTCCAAACAGATGGGTGGGAGAGAGTGAGAATGGACTGTTGTTCTAATGTTCCTCTGCTCGTGGCAGAGCTGGACAGGCAACGAAATTGAAGCTGGGAGTGTGAACGGCTCCCTTAAGAGCAGATAGCTCCTGGTTAACAGAAAGAGATGAAAAGCCCAGTTTCCCCAAAGCTCTTTCCACCAAACCATAATCACCCTGTGGATTTACAATTCCATCCTATGCATGAACACTATTAAGTATGTGGTTTGGCAAGAAGGTGGGTTTCTAGTGGGTCAACAGGAAAGAAGGGCCAAAAAGAAAGTTCTCAAAGTTGATAAACCAAGCTTGTAACTGCCTCAGGATAAAGATGACCAATGACAGAACACATCATTGGCTTCTGGTCACAGAACCCTCAAGTGGGATAATGCTGATTAAGGTAAAAGCCTAGAATAAGAAAATAAACTGCTCAAAGTGGTGGAACCAACAGTACAATTAAAAATAGTAGCTATGGGCTGTAGTAGGGGTCATTAAGACAATGAACACATTTGAAGCGATAGGACAAATAGCCTGTTATCTACATGATCTCTGGCAAGTTGCCTTTCTCTCTGGTTTTCTCACTTCTAAAGTGCCTTTAATCCACCTAAGTTGAGCGATAAGGTCATTGCTCTTAAGGAATTTACATTCTGGCAGGCGCAATGAACAGAAAATAAACACATAAAAATATACCAGATAGTGGTAAGTGTTATCCACAGAATTAAAATAGGCTGATGGGAAAGATGATGATTGGGTACCCAGGGGGAGGGTGCCTGGGGAAAGATGCTCTGAGGAGGTGACATTTTAGATGAGAACACAAGGAAGACTAAGCCATGTATGAATGACCAGAACTCATTCTAGGCAGAAGAGCTAGTATAAAGACTCCAGAGAGGGAATGTGCTTGGGGTTGTGAGAAACCAGCTAGAGGATGGATGGTGATTTAGACACAGAGATTTTGGAAGATTTTAAACCAATTTATGATCTGAGAAAAAGCTTACTATCATCGTTATGTGCAAGACTGGACACAAAAATACCAGGTAAGAAGCGAAGCCTATGTCGTAGTCTAGGAGAACTATGATGTCTTTGTGTAAGGCAAGAGTCCTAGAAATGCAAAGAAGTGGACAGATTCAAGGTGTTTGCTGGAGTAGAATCAATACTGTGCAGATAAATGGCTTTTGTGAGTTGAGTGAAAGAGAAGAATCGAGGATAATTGTCAGATTTGTGGCTTGAACAACTGGTTGGATGTTGGCATCATTTTCCAAAATGGGAAGAAAGAGGTATATAAGGGATAGTTAGTGTGTGTGCAGATGGTAGTACCTCAAAAGTTTGGTACTGGTCATGCCAAACATGTGACACTGTTAAGCCGGAAACTAGAGTCGGGTCCGAGGGATATAACATAGTGAATGATAAGTATCTGGGAGTGATGAGCATAAAACTATGGGCTGGATGGCATCCCCTGGAGAGACTTAGTAGAGAAGAGAAGGGGAGAGCTCAGGATCCCGAAGCAGTCTTATATCAGAGGTCAAGTTGAGTACAGGGACCAGAGAAGGAAGTAGCATCTAGGGAAGCTTCAAGAAGCAGGAAACAATCCAGTGTAAGGGCAGGAAATCAAGAGTTGGATTCCATGTAAAGGAAATCATGGATAAGGTCCAGGTATATCCACAACCATTATGTTTCTATAGCACTTAAGGGCTTGGGAAGGAGCCCTTAACAATAAGTTTGCCAAGAGGTCTAGAGAGTTCCATCAAAAGTCGATAGACAGGACTTCTCATACATAGAAAATCTGAAGCACACTCATCGGGAAGATAAATAAACACACAGTCTTAGCAGAGCCACTGCAACAAGGAGATTAATGTACTTCAAGATAAATGTAATAATCTTAATAAGTGGAATGGATCTAAATGCAATAATTACACGTTGTAAGGAAACAAGAGTTACATGTAAGTTGGCATCAGTCCAGAAGACGAGTTTATCCGTAGCTATCACAGAAATATTAGAGTTTTTCACTCCATAGTTGATGTTTGGGTTTTTGGCACAGATTTAACAGTAATTCTTTTTGCTAGAACTACCTTCATTTAGGAAAACTGTGATGCTGATTAGGGGTAGAAAGAGGAGGGCACTGAGGACAGGGGTCAGCAGGAACCAAACTGCTCTCCATTAAAATTCTAAGAATTTAGCAATGGGGACAGAAAAGGAGAAGACAGTGGCTAAGCAATATGACAGGGATGTAGAGTCCACGTGGCAGAAATAGCCGAATGGGTTTTAGGAACCCCCACATCGAACACTGAATTTCAATATAATGCTACACAAAGAAATACCTCATGTGCCTAGAGATAAAAAATCTTTATCCAATTACTGGGCAGTTGGCAAGCCATGTCCAACTACACAGACCTTGCAATCAGCATTTATGTGTCTGACTGTTAAAATCTTAAGAGAAAGCTGAGAATTACTTGACATTTGAAGAAAGCCTCCAACATAAAAGTAAGGGACCTCAAAACAAGAAAGGAAGAGAGGAAACTCAGAAGGAAAGTCTAATTAAGCTGTATTTAAGGACCTCACAGAGGTAAGTTAGCTATTCTCCAAACAAGGTCAGGAGGCTAGTAGGCTGAGATTATTATTAAGATAAGAAAGTGTTCTTAGAAATTTAAATAGGAGAGCTAAAATTACGTTAAAAATGCGGAAAAAATAGAGGAAACCAGAAGGCCAAACCAGGGGGCCCAACATCCAACCAATAGGGTTTGGAAGAGAAAAGTCAAGGGAACTACCACAAGGATATTTTCTGGACCTGAAGGACAGCGGAGCACCCAGCACAATGCACAAGAGAAGATCCACCATCATTTTAAGTTTCAATAATAGAAAAAATACGGGTCACATCTAAATGATTGAGAGTAAAAATGGCTGTGAACACTGTACCCAGGGCTCTCTAGGCAGAATGCAAACTTTCTTTAAAAAATATTTAAGACCTAAAAAGTCTGAGAAGCCTTCTAAAGGATGGCTTCCCCCAAAGCTCTAAGGTAAACCAAGAAAGAAGGAATGCTACCCAGAAAACCAGGAATCCATCCAGGAGAGGGAGAAGGAAATCCCCTGGGTGAGTAGGACCCGTGGGTGGAGGGGTAGACAGCACGCGAGCCAGGCGAAACCAGGTGACAGGATGCACAGCAGAAAGAGCCTTCCGAAATGTTTCCTACTGATTATCTGGTGGATTTGCTAGTGTAGAAAGTTACACCAAGGGCGGTGTTGCTTGAGCTTGGGAGGGGCTGCAGGAGGCACAACTGTCCCGCTTCCAGTCCTGCCTGCCATTTAGGGTCTCACCAGGCTAGTCAGTTACCCTCTGTGCTTCACACTCCCCAGTGAGGAAATGGATCCATAACGTACCTACCTCACCGAGCTCCTGTGAAAATTAAGTCAATTATTATACTTAATGTGCTGAAAACAAAAAAAAACAATGCCTTGAGTATTACGCTATTGGAGGCACTGGAAAGACTTAGCACGTACGGAGAAAACTAGAGGCGTTTTTAAAAAAATGGCCAAATTCTCAGCTCTAGGGAAAATAATAACTGGACAAGAAGGGAAACATGGTAATAGGTTCCTTGGCTCAACAGTGACCATTCCGCTGTCAGAGGATACAGATATTATAATTGTCATGTGACAAATCAGAAGGACGGTAAACAGAGGAGACATATCATCTACCATAATAGAACATGAGCAGAGGTAGCATTCTCTTTAGAATATGGAAATAAATTTTAAAATGAAGGGCTAAATATGTTTACGTGGCTCCTCAAAGAACAGGATATGGTTAACTATGGCCAGTGGTAACAAATAATGAATAAAGTTTTAAAAAAATTTTAAAAGGCAACACAGGAGCATCAGGTGCTTTTATAGTCATTCGAGAGCTCTGACTTCTGACCGGGGCCCCAAGGTTAGGTTCCGTTAGCCCTATACACCGAGTTTGCATGGCTGGGGAACAATCCGAGAGAAAAGCTATCCTCTGTGACCATTTCATTCCACAGTCCCAGGACATGAGTCTCCCTTACCCAGGAAAAACTTTTTTTTTCTATCTGGAAAGGGGCCTGCTGGGGCAACTTAGCCTTAAAAAAAATAATGGGGGAGAACCTTTTTTTTGATCCCCACCACCCAGGACATGGGTTAAGTTTGGCTTGATACTATAGCCATTCCTTTAATAATAATAAATTTTGG